TTAAAAGAAACAGTTTTCTTCATCTGAGGTTAAGAGATAAGTTTGTATTCAAGTTGCACTTTAATGTTTGTTTGACTCTATATGATGAAATCTTGTATCTTTAGGGTTTAACACGACGCCAGAAATGAAACGTATCCCCCAAACAAATCAACGACGACACATTGGAACGCGTCAAAATAAACTTTCAGGATTTTAGATGAAAAATTACAGTTTTAAATTAACTCATTCACATTTTAAACTTAATGTAAGAAAACAACTCGTTCTCACTCCCAAGTCTTCACATATTGACGTCCGGTCAAGACCTGTTGGCGTCAGTTTGTAACGCACTGGGTGAAGCCCTGTAGTGTCATTTATTAGTGCTAAAGGGAGGCATAGGATATTTAACAGAACAGTCTGAGGAAGGGTTGGGGTGGACGGAGACCAGGAGACCGGTGTCAGCAAGAAGTCAACGTAGAGCTTTTTTTAGGTTACGTAAGTTGCACAAATAACGTTACTAAACTGACGTAAGTTAATTGACGTAAGTTAATTGACGTAAGTAACGTTCTTCCCCCGGGTGTCTCGGCCTTCCTGTGTGGAGTTTGCATGTTCTCCCCGTGTCCGCGTGATCCGGTTTCCCCCACCATCAAAAACACGTTAGGTTTCTTCAGTCCGAGCCGTTGACCAGTGACACTGATGTAGATCTGGAGTCGGTCCCCAGGCCCACTGCTCCCTTCAGGGATGGATTAAATGCGGAGGATGAATTTCGCTACATTTATGTGTATTTCACAATAAAAGTACAATAAAGTACTTTTATAATTTAAGTTACAAATTACTTTTAACTCAAACCCTGATCTTTTCCTAAACCTAACCAAGTAGTTTCACAACGTTAACACGTACTTTAATTTTGAAAGTCTAACCAGATGTTGCATATTTATTCTTGTTAACTTGACTGCAGAGCCCTAAACATCGAAAAATGATGCTAAAGTGCGTTAAAAAGCAAAGCAAAGGGGCCCGGACCAAGCTTCCATATGTAATGAGTTAGGAGTGAGAACATGTTGAACGACAAATTTAGAGATATATTTCAAATGTTAGGAAATACACACCTATCTCGATTTTTCAGTTGTTAGCATCATATGTAAATTATTATTGTTGGCTGAATAAATAGTGTGACTATGCATGTTTAGGGGTTGTGAAGGGGCAGTGGATAAGACACATGGCTTTAGTGTGACAAATCCAGGTTCAATTCCCCACTGTGACACATCCACCATTGTGTCCCTGAGACACTTAACCCCTCGTTGCTCCAGAGGCGTGCGACCTCTGACATGTCTAGTAGCTGTAAGTTGCTTTGGATAAAAGAGTCAGCTAAATATAAAGGTAACATGTTTTTTGTTTGTTTCCTGGTGTAGATGTGATGTTTTATGACCACTACAGATGCAAGTAAAGTCCTGCATTCAAATTTTTTATGTAAGTAAAAGTGTTACAAAGGTGATTAAAATATACTTACTTACCCAGCATCTATTAATCTATTTTGATATTCAGTTAAATTAAATGTTATTTACTGTTTGCACATTATACATTATATGGACATATTGTGTACATATTTGATTTATTTGATCCTGACGATCACTGAGTTTACGTTTAGAGTTTAGTGTTCAGATTCGAACTTATCGTATTTTGTTTCTTTTTTTGAAGAGGTCATGTTGTGTGTGTAGGTTTTAATAGCGTCTAGTATTGAGGGTTGCAACCAACAGCTCAGTGACCGCTCACCCCTCCCTTTGCAAGCGCCATCTTGATTTTTTGCAACCAGACAACCAGACGTGACCATGTTTGGACGAGAGGGTGGAGGTAGTGAGCTTGGTTAGATAAGTGCATTTGTAATTCATATTAACTGTGATATTAGCTGGGATGCTAATTTTTGCTAGTGACAAACAGGCTTAAAATGTAAATGCTCCGTACTTGTATAGCGCCTTTCTGGTCTTTTCGACCACTCAAAGCACTTTTTACACTACATCTGCATTCACCAGTCACACACATTCATACACTGAGCCTAAGTGCTCAAACGGAAACTAACATTCACACTCACTCATACACTGGCGGAATAGCCGCCAGGGGCAATTCGGGGTTCAGTATCTTGCCCAAGGACACTTTGACATGCAACCAGGGGGAGCCAGGAATTGAACCGCCGACCTTCCGATTAACGAGCCACAGCCGCCCCAAACAGAATGTACTTACCAGAAAAATGAACAGCCGAGTCCTGATGAGCTTTTTCAGTCATTTTCCTCTAAATGGGACCATAATTTACTAAATGAACATCATGCTGTGTTGAAGAAGACTTGAAACTAGCGACTGAGACCAGAAACTCATCAGGAAAGTATTTACTGAGGGAATAAATCAGCTGACAAGTAGAAACATTTTCTCACAGACTTCTATACAATCACACTTCTTTCTGCAGCCGCTGGAGTCGCCCCCTGCTGGCTGCTGGAGAGGACGCAGGTTTAAGTCGCCCCCTGCTGGCTGCTGGAGAGAATGCAGGTTTAAGTCGCCCCCTGCTGGCCGCTGGAGAGGACGCAGGTTTAAGTCGCCCCCTGCTGGCTGCTGGAGAGGACGCAGGTTTAAGTCGCCCCCTGCTGGCTGCTGGAGAGGACGCAGGTTTAAGTCGCCCCCTGCTGGCTGCTGGAGAGAATGCAGGTTTAAGTCGCCCCCTGCTGGCCGCTGGAGAGGACGCAGGTGTAAGTCGCCCCCTGCTGGCTGCTGGAGAGAATGCAGGTTTAAGTCGCCCCCTGCTGGCTGCTAGAGAGGACGCAGGTTTAAGTCGCCCCCTGCTGGCTGCTGGAGAGAATGCAGGTTTAAGTCGCCCCCTGCTGGCTGCTAGAGAGGACGCAGGTTTAAGTCGCCCCCTGCTGGCTGCTGGAGAGAATGCAGGTTTAAGTCGCCCCCTGCTGGCTGCTAGAGAGGACGCAGGTTTAAGTCGCCCCCTGCTGGCCGCTGGAGAGGACGCAGGTTTAAGTCGCCCCCTGCTGGCCGCTAGAGAGGACGCAGGTTCAAGTCGCCCCCTGCTGGCCGCTGGAGAGAACGCAGGTTTAAGTCGCCCCCTGCTGGCTGCTGGAGAGAACGCAGGTTTAAGTCGCCCCCTGCTGGCTGCTGGAGAGAACGCAGGTTTAAGTCGCCCCCTGCTGGCTGCTGGAGAGAATGCAGGTTTAAGTCGCCCCCTGCTGGCCGCTGGAGAGGACGCAGGTTTAAGTCGCCCCCTGCTGGCCGCTGGAGAGAACGCAGGTTTAAGTCGCCCCCTGCTGGCTGCTGGAGAGGACGCAGGTTCAAGTCGCCCCCTGCTGGCTGCTAGAGAGGACGCAGGTTCAAGTCGCCCCCTGCTGGCTGCTGGAGAGACGCAGGTTTAAGTCGCCCCCTGCTGGCTGCTGGAGAGAACGCAGGTTTAAGTCGCCCCCTGCTGGCTGCTGGAGAGACGCAGGTTTAAGTCGCCCCCTGCTGGCCGCTAGAGAGGACGCAGGTTTAAGTCGCCCCCTGCTGGCTGCTGGAGAGAACGCAGGTTTAAGTCGCCCCCTGCTGGCGCTGGAGAGGACGCAGGTTTAAGTCGCCCCCTGCTGGCCGCTAGAGAGGACGCAGGTTTAAGTCGCCCCCTGCTGGCGCTGGAGAGGACGCAGGTTTAAGTCGCCCCCTGCTGGCTGCTGGAGAGGACGCAGGTTAAGTCGCCCCCTGCTGGCTGCTGGAGAGGACGCAGGTTTAAGTCGCCCCCTGCTGGCTGCTGGAGAGGACGCAGGTTTAAGTCGCCCCCTGCTGGCTGCTGGAGAGGACGCAGGTTAAGTCGCCCCCTGCTGGCTGCTGGAGAGGACGCAGGTTTAAGTCGCCCCCTGCTGGCTGCTAGAGAGGACGCAGGTTTAAGTCGCCCCCTGCTGGCTGCTAGAGAGGACGCAGGTTTAAGTCGCCCCCTGCTGGCTGCTGGAGAGGACGCAGGTGTAAGTCGCCCCCTGCTGGCTGCTGGAGAGGACGCAGGTTTAAGTCGCCCCCTGCTGGCTGCTGGAGAGGACGCAGGTTTAAGTCGCCCCCTGCTGGCTGCTGGAGAAGACGCAGGTTTAAGTCGCCCCCTGCTGGCTGCTAGAGAGGACGCAGGTTTAAGTCGCCCCCTGCTGGCTGCTGGAGAGGACGCAGGTTTAAGTCGCCCCCTGCTGGCTGTTGGAGAGGACGCAGGTTTAAGTCGCCCCCTGCTGGCTGCTGGAGAGGACGCAGGTGTAAGTCGCCCCCTGCTGGCAGATAGAGAGGACGCAGGTTTAAGTCGCCCCCTGCTGGCTGCTAGAGAGGACGCAGGTGTAAGTCGCCCCCTGCTGGCTGCTGGAGAGGAGAGGACGCAGGTTTAAGTCGCCCCCTGCTGGCTGCTGGAGAGGACGCAGGTTTAAGTCGCCCCCTGCTGGCTGCTGGAGAGGACGCAGGTTTAAGTCGCCCCCTGCTGGCTGCTAGAGAGGACGCAGGTGTAAGTCGCCCCCTGCTGGCTGCTGGAGAGGACGCAGGTGTAAGTCGCCCCCTGCTGGCAGATAGAGAGGACGCAGGTTTAAGTCGCCCCCTGCTGGCTGCTGGAGAGGACGCAGGTTTAAGTCGCCCCCTGCTGGCTGCTAGAGAGGACGCAGGTTTAAGTCGCCCCCTGCTGGCTGATAGAGAGGACGCAGGTTTAAGGCTTCACTTTTCAGATTGGTAGTGATGAATCAGATGAACTGATGAGCAGTTTGTCCAATTGGAGAAAATGCAGAAACATGATGACGTCCACGTAAGAGCACCCGCGGTGTATGTAGATAGACATGTCTGATTCTAAGATAATAAAAACAATATGGTTCATTATTTAAGGTCTTTCTAAACCACAGAAAACATAGTTATGGATATTATATTGCATTTCTGTCAGCAGATCCTCCTCTACTGGACCTTTAACGGTGTTTCTGAACACTTCAACACTTGATGGACTACAACTCCCACTGTGAACGCTGTGTCAGGTGCGCATGCGCAGGAAGGTGGGGCGCGGGAACCCATGCGGATGCGCCGCTGTGTGAAATGGTGGCGTGAGAATCTCCGCACAGCGGTTCGTACCTGAAGCAGGTTAGCTAACGTTTCTGAAACGGTCTGCGTTACGTGAAGCGGTTTGAGAGTCATTCAGAGGGTAGAGGTCGGAATTTACATTCCAGCAAAGGTACGTGAACTTTAAAACTGATAAACATCGTAGCCGGCCTGTGTGAGGAGCTAATGTTAGCCTTCAAGCTGTGTTTAACATGGCGTTAGCTGCTAGCTGCTAATATGCGGGCCCGCCGGTTAACGTTAAGGCCGTCAGCTCACCGGCTAACCGCCTCCGGGTGCACGTCAGATACCTGAATGAACATATTAGCAGGGTTTTCACTGCCTGTACTTTTAAGAGTCAGCTATTTAGCCGGTTAACTGTTAATCTGGCTGAAGCTTCAGTTCCCTGAGTTGAGAAACTAGTTGACGCTTGTTAGCCTGGAAGGACGAGCTAACTATGCTAACTTAGGTATCTGTTAACCCAACTTAAACTCTACATGATGCAGTTTCTGTGTCTCTGGGGTTCACTGGGAAACACATCAAGAAGCCAAATCTTTAAATCTCACATCACCACGTTAATTAAATGAAAGATGGGTTTTATCCTTCCAGAATATTCTTACAACACTTGCTGCTGTGATGTTGGCTGAATGTTTGTTGTACGGTTACTATTATTATTTTTGATTCCCTCAGATGTGTCACTGTCGCCCTCAGGACACATAATCTACCCGAACAAAATTGCAAATACACAAACAGAAAGATACATGGGAAGAAAAACATTTCCTCACAAAAAAAAAGTCAAAGATCTAAGAGGAAACTACGTCCCCAAATTACTGAAACCTATCCAGAATCTGAGACCAAAAACGGTTCAGGAGAACCTCCACACCTCCTAGGTGAAAATGTGAAATATAAAAACTTAAGTAAAATATATATATATATATATATATAAAAAGCATGGTACGGACTGTAGCAACATGTTATTGTTATGATGTTATACTGTTTCTTGTCTTATTGTTTTGCTTTGCAATATGAAAATTATTCTTTCGTGCCAAGAAAGCGATTTTGAAATTGAAAGTTGAATTGATAATGCTCCTACTCATGTACAAACTATTAGTGACTGGGGAGCATCTTTGGGCGTTAATAGTTAGTCCAAGTCTTTAACTTGGTCTCACAGACTTTATTCTACTTATTCTTAATAATTATGGCTTTTTATCATGTGATGTATTTTTATTTCCTGTTTGTCTAAATATCTTCTCTGGTAGTTCCTTTTTTAAGGAAGTAGTGTTAAAGGTCATTAGAGTCTCTCAGAGCTCGAGGTGACGTATTTAAATGTCTTGTTTTTACGACAAAGCAATTAAAAAGGTATAAACCAGCATACATTCACATCTGACAAGCTGGAACCAAGAATTTGGGACATGTTTTGTAGAGCCCGACCGATACGGGGTTTAAAATACAGATTTTGATATATGAGGATTTTAAAATCCGATACTCTTCTTCTCAGAAACGCACAACCTGAACAAAGATTATCTCTAATATTTGTTATGTTGTGAGACTTTACCAAGATAACATGACAGAATGACTGAAGTACAACTAAATATATTCATGTGTTAACAAACAGGAGGCAGGAGAACGACTGATAAGGAATATTAAGGATATAGTGTATGTAGCCAGCCAAACAGGAAATAAAAAATACTAATATTCTACTACTAGTACTAACTATAATAATGTCAGATTACATTATAATGATAAACGGGGCTCTCCTTCATATACAAAACATATTATATTAATTAGGCTATAAATAAGTAATATTCTTGTCGTGCAGTAGTTGTTACCTTACACATAATCTGCCACAACGACTTTATTGATCATCTTAATTCTATTCAAATGAAGCTAGAGGAACCATTTTTCAACCATCTATGAAGCTAGTTTCTGAACCGATTATCAAAAGTATTGCCAGTTATTGTTTTGTCGATTAACTAATTTTTTAAAATCAGTTTAGTCAGTCTAAAGTTTATAAATCAGCTGCAGCCCCTAAACTCCAGATGCCTGTTTCACCAGCTCCCTCTCTGCTAATGAAGGAGAAATAGTACAAATGTGGAAGTCACAGTATTTGTACAGTATTATGAGCAGCAGGATCAGAAGTGAAGGTACTCGTCATGCTAGTAGAAAACCTCTTATTAGTGTCCTGTTATTATTATTATTGATGCGTAAACATGTTGGTGCAGTAATAGGTTTAATGTTTCACTCTGAAATGTAGTAAAGTTAAAGTGTATAGTAGCATAAAACAGAAGTACTTAGTTCATCCCGACATGTTGAATTATTTTACATATTGTGGTGCGATGTGAACATTACCCGGTCCTCGCTGCTGCTGAACTAACTGTGCGTCTGCTCGTTGTGTGTTACAGAGCCGGTGGGATGGCGAAGAGGATCGCTGATAAAGAGCTAACGGACAGGAACTGGGATCAGGAGGAGGAGGGAGAGGAGGTGAGTTTCATCGTCTCCAAATCTCCCACCGGTTTACAGCTTTTTATAAAAGAGTGTTTTTGATGATTCAGAATGAGAGTTCAGACGTGTAGGAACTTTAAATCTAACCCAGACATCGTGTTGTTCACCAGGCCGGGACGTTTTCAGTCGCAAGTGAAGATGTGTTGAAGAACCGGGCGATTAAGAAAGCCAAACGCAGAAATATTGGCGAGGTAAAACCATCAATCTGAACGTTTTAGTTAATACACTTTATTGCATTTTTATTTAAATACTTGACGCCATACAGAATCCTCTTTATCCTGTTTGTTCATTTCTAAATGTGTTGTTTTGTTTCAGCCGGAGAGTGGCGGCACCTTTAAAAGTTTTAAAGGCTTTTCTTTGGCCACATCAGCAGCGAGCGGAGCCACGACGGCGTTTTCTGGTTTTGGGAACGGTGGCGGCTTTAAAGGCCTCAGCGGTCTGACCAACGGAAACGGCATCACGCCATCGTTCGGAGGTTTCTCATCCACTGCTGCACCCGGTGAGCAGAGAACAGCTGTCCTTCAGTGTGAAGTGACCGATTATTGGAGTTGATGTTGTTTGGCGCCTCTATTGGCTCCACATCAGGTGTGTGCGTCCGTTCAGCTGGAGCTACTGTGGCCGTGACCCGCAAACATCCAGTCCACCTGCTGAAGTGTGACACGAGAGAGAGAGAGAGAGTGCATTATACGTGATGACAGTGAGGAACGTGCCGGCGCCGTCTGTGGCGAAGGTTTCGTTTCCGCTTTGCAGAGGAGAGCGACTGTTTGCTTTGTCATGGAGAGGTTTAACTCGAGTAGGGATGTCAGGAGAAACGAGACCAAAATCCTGAAAACCGGTCGGTACCGGAGATTCAACACGTGGACGTGTGAAGCTGCAGCTCCGTCTCGACTCGTCGAATATAAAAGTTTGTAAACCAGGTGAAGTTTCCTTCAACAGCTTTGGGTCAAAGCCTGGATTTCTCCCAGTTCTGGATCTGTTGGAGGGCTGATTCAGGGACACGAGCGCCGGGGCGATTCGTCGACGTAGTAGATTATGTAAATAAGTCGACTTGCGTTACGTGCGTCGAAGCGTCGTTGCATCCGGTGTTAGTGGGATTCCCCCGGACAAGCTCCAGCTACAAGGCCGCGCCTTCGACTGTCTAAAGTTCGGGAGTATTTTAGACAAACGATGAACAACGAGCTGCTCCGTGAGCGCTGAACTGTAAACGGCTTCGCTTCCTTTTAAAACGGAGACCTTTTGCTACGTTTGCTCCTCCCGTCCAGACTAAAAACTAAAATGACGAAAACAAATACCCAAAACGGAGAAGTTTGGAAACGCTGTCGACCCCATTTCGCATTTCGAAACTCTGGAGGGCGTTTTAGTGCGGACGGGCAAAAACGGAGGACTTTACAAACGATGATGCAGGCGCTAATGTTTGGCTCTCTGATTGGGTCTCATGCAAATAAAACGTAGGCCTATCTGCCTACACTTGTACTGTGCACGTCGCCGTTTACTTTGCGTCGACTCCCAGTCTGTTTTCCGCCACCAACGCCGCTTTTAACTCCCGTGTTACATTCAGCAACAGTCCCAGCTCGTTATTGGTCCATGCCAAAAAAAAATCTGTTCTGATTCTTGGTCTGCAGGACTTTATTCTTTCGACAGATCTTCTGCTTTTTCAGTTGTTTTAATGTAGACGGAGATCAACTCTGAAATCTCTGCTGTGGACGGAGATCGGATTTGTTTTAATTGTGGGTGGGGCCTAATGCAGACGTGTCACAGTCTCATCACCTGAAAATCACCGAAGGTGACGAGACAGTTTGCAGCTCCAAGGACCGAACGTCTGTTACTGTGGGGAGAAAAGTTAAGAATATTAAACATGCTCAGTGTAAGGTTGTAATTTCCTTGATAATATATTGACATTAAACCATCATCTGTCCTGGACCTCCTCACAGCTGTTAGTAGTTCTCTTGTTTCTGTTACAGGGGTGTGAGTGAAGAACACGAGATTTATTGTTTTGCTTTTTACCCGTGGAGTCGAACTGGTGTTGAATCGTGACGTCCTGTTTAGCCCCCCGCTAACTTGAACATGGTTAAAATAATAAACTGTGTGGCTCTTCTAGACTTTCCAAATGTTCTCGAACGAAGGGAGGAAACTCTGATAGCGAAACGTGTCGTGTCTCTGGTGTCGCGACGCTCGAGGGATCCACCGCGTTACATCCGCTCGGAGCACCTTCCTGTGGGCTTGCAGGAAATGCGATGCTACCAAGCCGACCGATCGCGACTTGGTTACACACGCACTTTTGACTTTTCAGTTTGTGGAGCCGCCGTGTCGTCACCTGATGGTTTGTGGACTGGCATTTTGAAGCCTCAAGTTTGGCGTTTTGGCTGTCGCCATGTTGGTTTTTTGGAACAAGACGTGACCATATTTGGACGAGAGGGTGGAGCTAGCAAGGTGACATGAAACAGCTGATTCAGGGAACTCTGGTAGGGGTTAAATAAAGTCTGTGTTCATGTTGGTGTTGTGTAAAAGCTGGACTCAGACGGCTGCTTATCCAATAATAACATAACTAAAAGCTGCCTGTACCGTTTGGAGCACTAACTCATGAGAACAACAAATCAATGTTTATCTCACTGACTCAGCTTTTTGTGCCGTTCATGAAGCTCAGCAGACAAAGCTGCAGATATTTCACAATAAAAGCCTTCTAGGAATTAAAAAATTATGGCCGTGTGATACGGTCAAAAATGTTATCACGATAAAAACATTAAATATCATTTGATATCGATAAATGTCAAGTCATTATTTATTATTTTATTTTAAGATTAAAATCAGATTTTTACTCCTGAGTGAAAATTGAAGAAACCAGATGGTTAATTTTGTTGTTAAACTTCTCTTTTTAACACTTGATGCCAAACCGTTGATCACTGAACAAATATAATGTAGAACATTTAAAACTATTATGATAAATTCTTTGTCAACAAATATGATCAGTAAATCTTTTTTCAGTCCCTTTTCCTCAACAAAATAAATATTTAAATAGAAAAATTAAGTGCAAATTTCGTGATTCAAATAATAAATTAATACAATATATTGAACATTGATCAAATTGTTGAGTCATAATTACCAATAATGTAAAATGTGTTTTTGTTGCTTACTTTCACACGATGTGCTGAGAACGGTGACTAATAATCTGTTTGTTGTGATCGACATTGATTTGAAAGTCAATACTAATCTTTCCTTCACCATCCCTGGAATAAAGAATAGATGTTGTTGTAACAAATATAATCTCAGGTCCCGTCTCTGCTTATTAATGGTTACCTCAAACCTTCTCTAACGTTATCTCTGGGAACAGCTTATCAGAACAATACTGTCATTTTCTGGTGTATTGTTCCACTGGCTGCCATCGGTTATTAAAATCTGCACGTAGCTGTTTTCAGCGCGCTGCAGCAGAGCAGCTCTCCCTTTGCACTGTGACCTGGTTTCAGATCCTGTTAAAATCCTCCCGGCTTGTATAAAGGGTCGCGCTCTCTGCTGGCTGGCTTCACTGCTCTGTGGACGTGAAATGGAGTTGAAAACGTTCTCCATTGTTGCAGCTTCTTGGTTTGGTGCTGGGGAGTAATGGAGCTGAATCGGCGGCGGGAGGGGGGGGGTGTTTGGCTGCTCATTCATTTGCTGTCGTCGCTGCAGGGCAGGACGGGGGGAGGGAGGCAGACTCCTCGTTTCTCTTCCTCTCAGCCTCGGCTCCTGTCACACTAACATTCCTCCCCTCTTCATCTCAGGTCTGACATTCAACGGCCCCGCCTCCGCCGCTGACATCAGCGCCAAGCAGACCAATGGCTCCGCCCCGAGCCCGACTCAAAGCCCGAGCTCCTGCAGCAGCGGCGGCAGTGTCGGCAACAAGGAGTACAGCCGGCAGCTCACCGCTCTGAACTGCTCCGTGCGGGACTGGATCACCAAGCACGTGAACGGCAACCCTCTGTGCGATCTCAACCCCATCTTCAGGGATTACGAGCGGCACCTGGCCAGCATCGAGCGGCAGTATGGCGCCGGGTCTGTTGACGGGGGCTCCGAGGAGAAGAAGCAGGGAGGGCTGCCGCCGCGGCCACCCCTCCTCCTCCTCCTCCGTCTCATCTTCCTCCTCCAGCAGAAGCAGCCCGGCGGCTCCGGCTCCGGCCGCCTGCTTTGTTCTCCTTCTGCAAAAATGTGACAGAAGACCGGGACAAAAGCGCCGCCGACGCTCCGGCCAGCGCCGGCGTCTCGTTTAACTTCGGTCAGAAGGTGGACAGCTCGGTTCTCGGCTCCTTGGGGTCTAAAACTACTCCCCCCAGCTTCTCCTTCTCCTCCTCCGGCGCCTCCTCCACCCATACCTCCCTGTTCGGAGCTCCTGGATCTGCTGCGCCGCTGTCCTTCAGCGGGAAGAACGAGGACGCTAAGCCCGCAGGTACCCCGTCAGGAGGAGAGATAAATGAGAAGAGGAAGCTTAAATCTGTCATTTATTCTTCACTGCTTCATTAGAGGAAGCTTAACGAACTAATCAGGGCTGCTGCTAACAGTTACTCTGCTAAATGCTTGGCTGATTCATTGATTTGTGGTTATCGGTCAAAAATGCCAAATATTCTCTGGTTCCAGCTTCTCACATTCGAGATTTGCTGCTAAATTATATATCTGAGTTTTGGAAGCGATTTTAAGGTTGTGAGCTAATTGATTAGTCCATTAAATGTCAGAAGTTTAAAAAGTTCCCCGAGTCCAAAGTGACGTCTTCATCTGTCCAAAACTCAAAGATTATTCAGTTTACTGGGACGAACAGGAAATGTGAAAAACAGACCTACCTGTCAGCTCTACTTCTAATCACTGTTGGATATAAGATCATTTAAGGTTTATCTGCTTCCTCTGCATGTGGTTTAAATTTAATTACATAAGACTTAACACTTCAGCTGCGGTTTAAAATGAAGCTTGTTGGTGAATAAATGAGTACTGACTCGTTTGTCTTGTTATAAATTGCTGAATGTTAGTAATTAGCTGAGTGGGACACGGCGGGAGATGAGGACGCCGTCACAAACGGAGCTTCAAATAACGATTATTTTCACTGTCGATTAATCTGCCCATCAGTTTCTCATTTATTTAGTTAATCTTTTGGTCTGTAAAATATCAGAAAAAGTTTAAAATTCTCGACACAACCAAACACCAACCAGTCTGATTCTTCAAGACAGTCAGTTCACCATCCAAAAACCAGAAAACACTCCCTTAAATGATCATTTTATTATCGCTCAGCCAGGTTCTATCGATTAATTCAGTAATTGTTCATCTCCAGCTAAAACCTCATGTTTTATAAATGGACTCTGGTTAAACAAGAAGTACTTTTCATCCTCTGTCCCTTTGAGATGAGTCTGCTGTCAAATCCTTTTGCTCCTCATAGAAATCCTTTAAAGCTGAAGCTCTGTGGGGATTTTAGTTAAATATAAGATGTCACATTTAAACTCTGTTTTTATATCGGATCTAATCTGTCCTGGACGAGCGAGCAACAGCTCTGAGCTGATGTTCAGTTTGCTGTCGTATGAAACAAAGGGAAGCAGGAAACGATCTGAAAAGGCTCGTGTGTCTCTCTTTATTTGGTTAAACTGCTAATTATTGACTTTAAATCGAGTAATTAAGTCACCTTCGTCAGGTAACTAAATCATAAGTGCTTGTAATTAGCAGACGTGGAGTTAATCATCTGTATTAAGGAGAGTAAAGATGTAATTACTACTGTTAACACTATATATACTATTATAGCAGACAAAAGACAGCAGACGAGTTTCTGCAGGTCGACAAACCGTCTCAGCTGACTCCCAAGTTAAAGCATTTAGATTTTTATGATATTCTTGTTGAATAATGTGAAGCTTTTAATTAAGATGTTGTTTTTCTCTTTATAGACGAGAACAAAGACGAAGAGTCGGAGGAGCCGCCCAAACCCGAGGTCAAAGAGGTGAAAGAGGACGACGCCTTCTACTCGAAGAAGTACGTCTGACTGGTCGTCTGAATGATTTAAAAACGTTTGTTGGTTTTAGCTGAAATGAAGTTGTTCTTCATCATTTCTCTTTCAACCAGAGTGATTTTCTCTCTCAAAGTATTTGAATCATTTAGAGGCTTAAA